CCCGATCGCCTTGCTTATTTGACTATCGTCTTGCAAAAAAAGACACATGAAATTTTAAAAACGAGACAAAATACTTTTCATGTGCTGCAAGTCGACGGTATTTAAACTTTGAGCATTATGTAAATTATGTAAACCAGTCAGCGCCAGTATTAAATAGATTCTCAAACAAGATAAAAATTCATTTTTTTTCATGAGACATTAATATTTATTTCTGATAGTGATAACAAGAAAAAATATATAGTAATTTAAATTATTCACACAAAATTCTCTCTCTCTCTCTCTCTCTTTCTCTCTCTCTTTGTTTCCTTTTCTTTCTTGTTAACAGTAACACAGCATATTTCGGCTTGCTGGAGATATGCAAACCGAAGTCTGGCGAAACAATCGTCATCAGCGGAGCCGCAGGTGCGGTCGGCTCGCACGTAGGCCAGATCGCCAAAAATCTGGGCCTAAATGTTATCGGTATATGCGGTTCCGACGAGAAGTGCAAGTGGCTTACTGAGGAAATGGGTTTCGATTCCGCCATCAATTACAAGACCATGCCAGTTGCGTCCAGTCTAAGCAAAGCTGCTTCAAACGGCGTGGATTGCTATTTTGATAATGTGCGAATTCGATAAAATATTCTATCTTTTTTTGAGTAATTAAATACAGTAATTAAATACGTATAGATCATTGTTTTTAAATGACATCTTTTATCTTCTTCAATGACTCTTGAGGTCTGTTCGGCCGGACGCTCTTATTCGCTTATCTTTAAACGTTAATATCTCGTTAAATATTGCTGACACAGCAAAATGGTACAGGACTTTTCGACGCAGTATAGTCTGTTCTACCCACGAAATATTTTGTGGTTTTTGCCAGACACCCTGTATATATCTTTTTTATTATATATATGTCTTAAAAAAAAGATGAAAAAAAAATAATGAATTGATTTATTAATTCACACATTGCAACAAAAATATGTGAATGTCATGAAAAATCTCCGAAAATGTGTACCGTTACAAATTTGAGTTATTATAAAAATAATTTTAACTTCTTTGGTAAAAAGTTAAAAATCTAAAATTAAAAAGAATATTGTTCTGCCTTGTGATTACTTATTGAGACTTATGTAACTGTTAACGACAGTGTTGGTATCGTTAAATTGTTGCGTAGGTTTTACACCGTAAAAAACAAAATGTTAATTTAACTTAAAGACGTATAATGGACTTTCTGAGACATACAAAATGTTAAAATTAACATTCTTGCGTTAATTTTAACATTTTTGTGTATCTCAGAAAGTCAACTATACGTCTTTAAGTTAAAATTAACATTTTATTTTTCACAGTGTATACATAAGTATACACATTACAGTAAAAAAATTATGCAATGATAATGTTCTGTAACTCTTAACGACATCGACGCTGTCGTTAAGAGTTACAGAATAGGGGCCTTATTTATCTATATATTTATTAATTTTACAGGTTGGTGGGGATATCTCTAGCGCAGTCATGTATCAGATGAAGCCATTTGGCCGAGTAGCCGTGTGCGGTAGCATCTCGAGCTACAACGCGGACTCCTCGTCTTTGCCCAAGTGTACAATCCTGCAACCTATTTTATCGAAAAATCAATTGAGAATGGAGGGTTTCATCGTTTTGCACTGGATGGATCGATGGCATGAAGGCATTATGCAGAATCTGCAGTGGCTACGCGAGGGCAAACTTCGTTACCGTGAGACTGTGACTAAAGGCTTCGAGAATATGTTTGATGCGTTTATCGGCATGCTGCGCGGCGAGAACATTGGCAAAGCGATCGTCCAGGTGTAGACATCATACATCTATGTTCGCGCCTCTCTTCGGCGCGAACCGAACCCACTTCTTATAATATTAAGGGAAGAACCTGGTTTAGGACGTTGAAAAATAGTTGTATTTTGCGAATTTTTTATTAACAAACCATGAAACCGACCTTTCCAAAATTTTAGAGGTGATTTGTTATATATTTAAACAATACAAAATAATTAGTTAATAAATAATGAATATAAAAAAAAGTTATGTATATTAATCATTATTGTGCTTCGGTACCTGCGTTGTAAATCGGTGTGCAATGTGGAGCCTGAAACAAAAAAACCAAAAAAATTTTTTAATTAGATAATATTTTATACTCGATGAATTAAAAAAAATAGGAGAAAAGTATCAAATTGTAAAAATTGTGGAACATTGAAAAAAAGTAATAATTTTAAACAAAGAATTTTGACTTATTTATGCAGAAATAATCATTTGTACTAATTTTTTAATGAATATTTTTAGTTCATTTAGAATGATTGACAACAATGTAATTAAAAAATCTTGAAAAAAGTCGAATAGTCAAATAATTTTTGCACCGGCCACCTCGAACCGGGCAAGTAGAATAAAAAAGATGATGCAATAAGAATGGAAATGGTTAGACGTCCCCTCAAACACTGGGCGCCTGCGACTATGGCTGCGGTCCACTTGATGCTTCTAAACGCTCTAAACGCTACGCTCCGGTTGGTCCATTAATGTTATGAATGCTACAATCGCAACCCAAATGGACCAGGCTTGTAGCATTTGTAATGCCATATGGATTTCCGTTAATTTCGTTGCATGTTGAAACAAAGTTGTTGAAAACAAAACTATTTTAAATAATGTTGTTGCAATGTATTTTTACGAACGTTTTAATTTGTCAAAAAACCTTACGAATTTATGTACATTGAATTAATACAAATTTCAAAACGTTACCTAATCTCCTTTGCACATATATTCAGAAGCATAAAACGAATGATACTTAAAGACTATTCACCTTTTGAAGCACGAGCAAATTCTTCATCATTCAAATTAAATATATAAACACTATTTATTTCCGTGTCAGTAACTTCTAATTGTGGCATTTTAATGTACGTTTTACAACTTATCTTCACTTTTGATTCACATTTCCCGCCAAATGCTTACAATGCTCTGGCTAACCTATCTCGCGAGGTGAGGCAGTTGAAGTGGGAGCAAAAACAATAACGTAATGATGACGACATAGGCTGTGTTCCAAATTTACTGCCAGCAGAGAAAATGCTACAATTTACGTTACGTGCACTATAGATTTTCAGTACTGGCGG